TGTGGCGAGTTCAGCAATATCTTCTGCGAAGACTATGTTTGTCTTCCTCTTAGGTCATACGCTTAGCGGCATATCACGATTTCGAACTGTACGACTCCGCGAACGAGTTTTGGCGGCGAACCTCGGTACTCTCGGCATGTGTATCGGTTGGCACCGCTAGCAAAGCATCCCCAGAGAAATTTCGAAGAAGATGGTTGGAAAGTCTGACGGCTTGTTGGCATGGTTCATCAACTGTTGAGCTTGGTCTTCTGCCATGGCAGCGGCCGCTGCGAGACTTTCGTGTATAAACTAGATCTGGATTCTGAGAGGGGTGTCTGAGAAGACACCGGCTCCACAACAACCTCGTCGTCAAGTGCGAAAACAAAAACGGAAACTAAGGGGAAAATTGGGCTTTAGAGAGACTCAAAACACGCGGTTCCGTGTAGGTTTCTGGGTCAAAGCATCGCAGGGAAATGAAGGCACCAAGAAGGCGTCGATAAGAAACGGAGGCTCCGGGCTGCATTGCGCGAGCATCACAACATGTACATATGAGTAATTTTGTCAGAGTATCGGCTGGCGACTGGGAGAGGAGGGAAGGAAACGGGCTTTTCTTTTGTTATGTGCCTTCGAGCGCATTCATAGCCCTGGGTATGGTTGTTGTTTTTTATATTTCTTCTCTTGTGAAGAATACTGCATGGTGACCGTATCATACGGGTTTACCCAAGGATCAGATAGATCATCTCCTGGCCAGACTGCGCCTGTTCCCTTTGTCATTGGGAAGGTTGCAATCTTTCTCGGCTCATGATTCCATGACGAAATGGCATGATAGTTATGAACTCCTCATTAAAAAATTCATCCAAGATCCCCCCATGTCCAAGAGTGATTGTAGTCTGACCATGTTTCAATCTACTTAACATGGGAAATCGTTTCTATGCTCAAAGAGTAAGGTTAAGGTAGTATGTATCTCATGGCTGCCATCATGCTTTTCTCATACAAATCTTACTAGAAATAACAATCATGCAAGGGGAGATGGATTCACTGCAAAGTAAGAAAAGGTTGTGGTGATGGGTAGGTAAGGTAGTTCGTCATTCATGAGAGGCTCTCCGGATTCTTCTGCGTACAAGCTCCAATCAAGTGTTTTCCGCCTTCCCATCCGCTATCCAGGTATGCAAAGTTGCAAACGCCTAATTCTAAATGTCTCTACTCCGTAGCACGTGATTCTCTTTCCATTGGCGATTAAAGGAGGCATCAACACGCTCCTCGGAGTTCCGTCAAATCGCATGGCCATGTGTCTCAGCCTCCAATGCCTCGCTTGGCCCCCAAAGCCCCCCACCCCGGAGAACACGACTGGCTCTCGTCGAGGGAATTCCGAGGTTTCCTATGCGGATCGAGATCACGTTTTGCCCGTGGTGCCTATCCACAGCAGTTGCGTTCATTCCAGCTGCACCATCTTTTGAATTTTCAGCTTTAATTCAACTCCAATGCCAGCTTCTTGGCCCCAACCTTTGGGTTCAGCTTTTCCTTGTCTCGTCTCACTCAAGCTCTCGAAGTGTTTGCAGAGGCTGTCGAGTTTGTCTTTGTCTTCCTCCTCGAGGGCTGATAGACATCGTTGAAATTCATGGCGACGCCGAGGAAACGCATGTCAACGTCGGGCTGGTACGCGAGGTCGCCCAGCAGGATCTGAAGGCGGGTGCGAAACGTGGTGCCGAGCTGGCGCAGACGATCCTGGAGGACCGGGAACTCTGATGCGACGGCCAGGTTCTCGTCCTCGCCGTCGGGTCCCGGCATGGATTCCTTCTTTTGGTGACGGGGCCCGCGTGTGGAGATGCGCATCACGTCGGCCTCCTGTCGGCGGGTGAAGTCGGACACGCTCCAGCTGTAGAGGCCGTCGACGGAATCGCGATAGCTGAGCATGGCGCGCAGGAGGTCGCCGAGCTGAGACAGGTACGAGGTGCGGTCGTCTTCGCCCGTAGCTACATCGACGTGTCGGACGCTGCGCCGCGCGCCGAGGAGGCCCTTGTGTGTGATGTCGTTGAGGTACCGGGTATGTGCTTTAATGAGGTCGTCTAGGGTACAGCCTTCCCGGTGTATCCGTTTCTGGAGCTCGTTCCAGGACGACTCGATTACTTCGAACAAGATATAGTATTGAAGCTGGCCGATGAAGTGAATCATCTCCGCAAGAATGCCGCGGGTTGATTTCCAGGTTTGCACAACGATGGGGTCGGAATTCTGGAGCACACCGCGTGAGCCCGTCATACACTTGCGCCAAGTAGAGGCGAGGGCAAACTCGACACGCTTGATGCGCCACAGAAAGTTGAACACCTTGAGATACTGGCGGTTGCCCCAGTCGGTGACGACAACGTCTACTGGAGCATCGACCTTGTATTCCAGCGTAAAACAATCCCAGCCGATATCGCCGTGGGATAGTTGGAGCATCCGGGCGTCAAGGCGGCGGAGGACTTCAGGCGAGTCATACTGCGCATTGGACCCGCGAATAGCGTGCTCCAACTGAGCTGTCAAAGTATGTCGGTATTGTGCGCCGGCGGGACGATCGAGGTTCGCAGCAAGGGATTCCATGAGAAGAGCGATAAAGTCGCCCTGTCCCAGTAGAATGTAATTCTTCAACGCCTGGAGGTGCTCGAAGAGATGGAATTTGTTGGCCATGAGGTCTATGAGACGCTTCATTGTCGTCTTGTACGCCTCGTCAATCCAAGCCTCGAGGGTTGCAGTGTCGCCGTAGCGCAATTCCTTCGAGGCGGCCTTGGAGTAGTCTTCAACCCATTGCGAATCACCGCAACTGTGTCTGATAAAGTTGAGAGACTTGCCAATGAGGAAAACCTTTTGCGCAAAGTCTTGAGTGATAATGCTCGGAACCATGTCCTTGTCGATTTCGTATTTATCTTCCCATACACTGTTTCCACCCGTCTTTGGCTCGTCCGTCTGTTTCTGTTCTTTGACAAAGAACTCGCAGAACGGGTCGAGTAGCTCGCCATCGTATATCCACCGACGAAGAATATCGTAAAACGGGCGGGTGACGTGCACGAGCAGACGTTCGGCAAAAGCTGCAACCATCGGGTCACCATGCGAAGAGGAGAATCCGTGTACGAGCGAGATGAGTTGTCCACCTCGTTTACTCTCTGATTCTTCGGCAATGAGGCTCATGAGCCTCAGCCCCATGGTAGCTTCCCGCGTCCATACCACACATCTCTTCAATGTGACGCCTGCCTTCCCCATCCCACCTCTTGGGGCAGACTCTTCCAATGAAGACAATGCTTTGCGGATTTGACCCTCAAGGGTTGCGACTAGGCTGAGATAAGACCGTAGCTCACCGCCTATGGCAGCTCGAATACTTTGTCTTAGCAAGCCCTGGGCGGGGGACTTCACAAAGACATCGAGACGCCGGTATAATAGAGACGGTTCGGCGACTGTGTGTAGAAGAGAGATGATTGGAGATGGTAAAGTCGGGGGTAAGGTGATGGTGTCTGGTCTCGAGAAGGGCAGCGTAGTCGAAGATAGTCCTTGTAGAGTAAAGGGAAGATCTCGCAAGAGCACGGTCTCAGAAGGGTCGATCTCGACGTAATTATCGGCAAGCAGGGTGGATTTCAAGTTCACTTGTCGCTTATCCATTTCAGCGCCATCTATCTCCTTCTCCTTCTCCTTCTCCTTTTCCGGGTCCTTCTCTCTTTCGTTAATGGACTTGTTGTTCTTGGTGTGGTTCGGGGGGAAGTTCTTCAGTCCTTCTGGCGCAAAGGCGTCGTCGAACTGCTCTTCCTCTTGCCTTGATATCGGCGTAGAATTCTTAGACGACCGTTCTCTTTCATGTTTTCTGAATGGGTCGCGCTGCGTTTGTGGAGGAGGTTTCGGTGGGACGAGGGGCAGCGGCTCGCTTGGATCTGGCGAGTCGCCAAGCTGGTAAAGGAGGTAGAGGATAGCCCATTTCTGGCCCAAGACTGGTAAAGAGAGAAGACGAGTGTAAAGATTCGAGAAGCGCAGCGCCTGGCTTGGATTACTCTGTATGAGCTTCCGCTTGATCAGGTCTGAGGCGTGGTTGACATCTGAGGAAATGGCGGGGGACGCGGGGCTGTAGGTTGACTAGTCAGCGACATAGCATACAAGTGGTCGGGAACTGCGTGAACACGGAGTTGGGCTGAGACTTACGCATCCAAGATTGACTTCACCAGCTCGAAACAGTTGTCGTGTCTCTCATGGGCTGCGGCATCGTCCTCATGAGGGTCGTTGGGTACCAAGTGTGCTATTAGGCTGTCGACGGCACCAGCAATGCGATGCTCGCGGTTGGCCGACATGATGGCATTGCCAAATTTGCACTGACCACCTCAAGGTTCAAAGACAGCGTTGATTCAACCTCCTCGAACGAGATGCCAGAGCGGGCGGGGAAAAAGAGGTCCGGCTCGAAAGAGATCAACGTAATATGCGCCGTTGTTGTCATGTATCGTATTGATTTCGGTGGTGTATTCGCAGCATTGCAACCCGCTGTGAGAGACGCGCCGGACGCGACCTCACAGTGTTGCTGATGCCAATTGCAAGCAGCCTACAGGGGCACATTGGGGAAGTGGTCAGAGCGTCCGTAGAGGTACTGTCGACCCTTGCGACCGGCCAACTCACATATATTTCTCTAGTTGTCGATACTTCTTCCCCAGGCTCGACCCTCCCCCTGGCATTTGTCGTCAGACAGTTCGGCAAAATTTCCATCGACAAAGCAGTGCAGCACCTCTCAATCGCATCCCGTCTTCCTCCACTGTACGAGACCGAACCGGACCCAACCACTGGACCTCACTCCCGACCTTCGCCATCACGCCTGCGCCCACAACATGCCCCGTTCATCGAGATAGTACCGGATTTGCGATCGCATTGTCGCCCTCTATCGTTCTATGCTACTCATGAACATATATTCCGTCCTGCGCCGAGTCCTGCCTGCCGCCGCTGCTGCTGCACGCGACTGTCGCTCAGCTCCACTAATACGCTTGACGACGTGATCTGCCTGTCTGGCATCCCGTGTCGCAATGCCCGACATCGACCCCGCGGCCCTGAGCAGCCGCCCATCAGTAAATCTCTCCACGCCGACACTCTCGACCAAATCCATCACCGTACAACCTCCCGGCTCCCTCAAAGCCGCCAAAACAAGTCAGATCATACCGGCCCGCATTGACCTAGAACCGCTTTATACCGCCTTGAAGCAGGCTATCGGCCCAGAAGCATGGGTCATCTACAAGGAGTCAACCACAGAGTTTCTCATCGGTAAGCAACTCCGGATATCCGCGCAATCATCCTTCGGAAGCTGACATCTGCGTCTAGGTCGATTGAATCAGACCGAGTACTCAGAACGAATCGACCCCATCCTCACATCTCCCAATGGCGAAAAGGAACACCTCCATAATCAGCTAATTGCTGCGATATACGGCAATGTCACAAGGGAGATGCCCGACCAGGGCCTTGCCCCTTGGGTCAGCGCCAATGACAAGCCCACCGCTCCCGTTGGCAGTAAGCCTGTATCGGGGGATGCGGCGGAGCGTCGTCTAAAGGGCGACGTGATGCAGTTGCCCACCAAGGACCGTCGGCGTATCAAGGATTTGGTTTCAAATGACGTTAGTCTTTGCCTGAAGCTTGTTGAAGTTTGATATGCTAATGTCAAGGTTCATCAGTTTGATCCCTACGAAAGCCTTTCCAATATCTTCCTCGACAACCACCGACGACAGCCCAAGCCGGCCGATGTACCACCTAGTGCAGGAGGCATTGGTGGTATAAATAAGATGAGTGCGTGGAACCCCGGCCTGTTATGGATCAAGGCTGAGTGCTAATTGAAATGCAGATTTCGATTTGGAAATTCGCAAGCGCTTTGCGCAACCCTTGGCCGGAGAGTCTGGCGAGTTTCCCGATGCCCCCGTAGTCGAAGGCAGGATGTTACCGTTCTGCTACGATGCAGGGCTCACCAGCGGCCATGTCCAGGATGCACCGCACTTCATGACAGTTGCGACTGAAACATTCATCAAGGAATCGCTGGCCGCCATATTCGCCAAGACAAAGAGCAATGGCCCAGGAGAAGGTGCTACCGCTGGGTTCGGCGCGGGAACCCAATGGATTCAGACCCACAAGTACCGACACCAGCTCGTCAAGGAGGAGGATGCGGCCCTACGAGGTGACCTTACACGCGACAAAAGTGGCCTTCTACCTATTGAGTCGAAGGCAGCAAGTGAGCGTGGACCCCTTGGTATGGCGGATGTACGGATTGCCCTGCAGATGGCCGACAGCGGCTTGGCCCAGTTCCCCATCATAAGCACGGCGATATCATACGGCTATCGTGAAGGAGAACTTGAGAACTGGCACGACTACACCTGGCTCCCGGGTCTCGAACCTCCTGGAACCAAGACTGAAACCTCCGATATCAAACCGGCGGTTACAGAGCAGCTACCCAACGGACACGTCGACGCAATGGAAATTGACTCTGAGGCCTGGTGGGAAGGTGCAGATCCTCAAGATATGAGCTCCCTTGACTCTGTTCTTGACTCTTGTCTTGCAGTTGGATCATAGTATGGACAACCACCGACACGATCATGGGTTTCCAAGAGAGACAAGGTCTACTCCAAGCGCTTTCTTCAGGGTATCTATCCGGTTCACAGAGATTGGGAACGCTTGTGGGGCTGGACAAAGAGGCCGGGTCGGCCGCATCGAAGCTGAAGAGGCGGAAAGGGCTGGAAAGGGCTAATCGAGGTGTTATCATCAACACCGTCGAAGACCAGATTTTCCTGCATCAAACTGCATAAGCATTGGCATCAGGCAAGGCGTCATTGGGTTTCGCCATTTGGCAAGTTCGGTCGATTTTAACATCGTGCTTTATACTGGATTGAGGGACAGAGGAGGGCGGCGTGATTTGTGCATGCTCTCGTCAAAGCAACAAGGGGGCAGGGCGTTCTCGGTTGTTTAGCAACGGAAGGGTTCTGTACAGTATGGACGATACCCTATGGCTCGCTTCATGTGAGCCACATGTTTGGAAGGTGGCGAATGGTAGTTTTAGTCAGGAACGTTATAGACGAATTCATGCAACTTTAACGGAAGTTCTGGAAGGGATTTACTTTTAGGTTGGTGACTTTGTTCTTTCTGAGTTGCTATTTCACTTTGAAGCTATGTAAATCACTCTTTCCTCTTGGTTGCATACACTAAATGAATACAAGACTCTTCATCCCTCTTTCATCCTCTGTCTACAGCTTGGCAGCAACTGAGTCGCCGACTTCTTGCTTGGCCTTTTCTCTAAGAATCTTTCGCAAGATCTTGCCGGACTGGGAACATCGTCAACTTATTGTTCACACAATACACAGAGGAACAAGACTTACTGGGTTCTTGGGGATCACATCAGTGAAAGACACACCGCCTCGAAGACGCTTATGCTTGGCGACCCGGCCCTCTAACCACTTGGCAATATCCTCCCCGGAAGCGTTGGTGCCGGGTGACCGAACGATATACGCCCTTGGTAACTCTTCCCCGTTGATGGTGACCCCAATGACAGCAACGTCAGCCACATCTTGACGTTCGAGGAGCAAGGCCTCCAGCTCGGCCGGGGCAACCTGGTTGCCCTTCACTTTGATGAGCTCCTTCATGCGGTCAACAATGTGGAAGAGGCCGCCTGTGCTATACTCTTCAATATAAGCAATGTCACCAGTCCGCAGCCAGCGGCTGCCTTGATCATCTACGACGATGGTCTCGTTCGTGGCTTTGAGGTTACGCCAGTAGCCGCGCATGACGGTCGGGCCTGAAATCAAGAGCTCGCCAGGAACCTTGGCCTCGGTGACCTCTTTGCCGGTCTCGGGATCGACGAGCTTGCCTCGGCAGTTGGGCATGAGCTCTCCAACGGAAGCGCTGCGGAGCAGACGGTTCGGGTCCCACGTCATGGCTGTACAGGTGACTTCAGTCATTCCCCAGCCCTGCCGAACGATGAGGTCCTGCTTCTTAAGAATGCGTTCGGCCTGACGAGCCACGTCCGCCGCCAAGGGCGCGGCACCCGAGCCGACGGTCTCAAGACTGCTGAGGTCAAACTTTGCGGTGATGGGATGCTTTGTCAGGGCGACGAGAATCGGGGGCACACTGACGAGCTGCGTGACGCGGTACTTTTGGATGTAGGTGAGCATTTTGACAAAGTCGAATCCGTTCATGATATAGACTGGGATCCCCTGCTTGGCGAAGTTGGCGACGAAGTATGTCTGCGCATAGGCATGGTAGAGGGGTAGGAAGCAGAGACCAACGGAACGGGCAATGGAGGCCTCATGATCCGGCTCCAGCGCCGCTACCTTGACGACACCGGCACCGTTGGCGACGTAGCTGTAGTGAGAGATCTCGACGCCCTTGGGCACGCCCGTCGTGCCGGAGCTGTAGTTGAGGCAGCACGTCGTCGTGCGCGCGTCGGCCGGCTCGACCCACTGGAACTTCTCGGCCTGCGCCTTTGGGGCGATGAGCTCCGTCCAGTGACGGGCGCCGCCCTGCGCGGGCTTCTCGGGTCTGCCCGATCCGGGAACTGTGGTGTCGAAGACGAAGACGTTGTTGGCGGGGATGGAAACCTCCTTGGCTGCCTCCAGGGCGATTTCGAGACTGCCTTCGGCGGCGATCATGAAGGTCGCGCCGCTGTCCTTTAGCTGGTACGCCAGCTCGCGGGTGACAAAGGTCGGGTTGGCGCCTGTGAAGATGCCGCCGGCCATCAGGATGCCGAGGAAGACGACAGGGAAGAAGAGGTTGTTGCCCGAGAATAGGAGCACGCGATCGCCTGGCTTGAGGCCCGCCGCTTGGAGACCGAGAGCGATTTGCTTCGCCACGAGGCGGTAGTCGGAGAAGGTGATGAAGTGAGTATCTGGTCTGTCGGCGTCATAAAATGCTTTTCGATTAGAGAGAGGAGCATTGGAAGAACCAAAGATCCATGTCTGCAACGAGCAGTTCGGAAGGGGCTCCGACCACCGTGATTCGATAGGCATGTTGAAGTATAGATGTGTGGTGTGTTTGAACGGTAGCCTGCCGCAATAAGGTTTCGAGCGTCTCTTATGATCCCAGTCTTGCTCTTGACCGCGGCTCTTCGGGTTAGACAAGAATATGATATATTACTGAGCTTGAGTTAGTAACCACGATGGTGTTTCTGTCAAAAGGGCAGGATCCGCAAGTTACGCTGCGCCTTATCGTACAGGGATTCGACTTTTGCCTACGAGGCAGGAGGGATCGAGACTGGTAGCAGCCGACAGAGCCCAGTCGAAATATATACCAGCAATCATGGGGAGAACGGGGAGAACGGGGAAGACGGCAATTCCTCCAAAGTGGATTTTTCCTAGTCACATTATCACTGCAGGCCTACCTTGGCAATGAGCTCCAGACGAAACCCCAGAGCCCCCCGTGCTCCTATCGGCCAATGGCCACGTCCTTCCGGCGAGACTATGGCTCGCAATTGATGCATCCAAACCTGGGGGGAAGCAACTTCGTGACGCTAGATCTCCGCATCATACCCCTGTCGATGCGGGGGTTCGGAGCTCTGCGACTGGGCAAAGCTGGGGAAGATGGAATAAGAACCGAGGCATGGCGGTAAAAACGAGCTACCGGAAAAGTTGGGGGAGGAGGAGGAGGAGTAGGGACCGGACCGACGACGACACACCATTTCCTGAAAGGGTTTGCATTTCGTTCAACTTGCGATTGGGTTGCCAGCGAATGTCTACCACCTTGTATTCCACTTGATGTCGTCCCAGCGGATGTGTAAGAGGGCAGAAGCGGCCAGCATTCTGCCCTATCGCCCTATCGTATATTTCTTCGCAAGCTAAAACCTGGACGCTTTGTGAAACAGGGTATTCGCAATTGTATAACTAGATTTACAAGTAATCCATTATCGTGGTCGCACGAGGTTGGAGGCTTGAATCAAACCTGCATTGACCAATCGCCGCCGTTCCAATCGACAAGCTGGGTGATTGACAGCTTCTCCATCTTTGTGAGCAGACCAATCCGGAGACGGCCAATGTCCCGCTTTGGAGCCGCCTCTCCCCGAGGTTGAGGCTCCGTCGTGGTTGAATAACCACGCGCGCCAGAAATGGTGTCGAAGTTAGGTGCTTATTCTCTCTGCTGTTCATCTTAGCCTTTCGTCGGCGTCGACTCGCTTGTTCAAGCGTGTTTTCTCCAGTCTTTCGATCAATGGCCTAAGCCAGATCGTTGCAAATGGTCTGAGTACCTTGTTACTTACGAAATCCACAGGGGAAATCAAGTGAGTCAATTTGCAACTCTGCTGAGATAGACGTATTAAACTGTATCGGCGGCATTGGTGACAATTAAGGCTGAGATTGAGTCAACTCTACCAGAGTAGCATCACCCATTGCAGAAGTCTGTCCCAATATCGGTGTATTTGGACCGATGAGATTGCACCTGTAGACAGTCAAGCCGTGTCTTTGGGTCAATATGGCCAGAGAAACGTCGATCGAGGGCGGCATTGCACCTGATTATCGTGTCATGTGCCGTAAGCCGTACTGAATATGGTATCGCATTGTTGCTTGTTACGGAACTTAGTATCCAGCTCCTGGCTCCCTTAGAGGTAAGGTAGTGAGTTTGGCGCTGCTTCCCAAGGATCGATCAAGCGGCCCGTCGGCGTTGAATAGATGCGCGTCCCCTGCATAATAATAATTGGGTGCGAGTTATGCAAGTCTCAATAACGCTTACTCGTCCACATCGCCTCTTATGCGTCCACCGACCCAGAACATTACCTAATCACGCAGTAGCCGGCTCGACCAATCACAATGATCCATATTCCAAGCAGAGCTCACGACTTTTGAACCTCCCGAATCTAAACGAACAGCACATATCCGCAATATTCCAGAGCCCAGCGCCGCCGTCCCCTCACCCCTCGCCGCCATCGCCAATTGAGCCGTCAACACGTCCCTCGCCATGGCTTCTAGACTCTCACCTCTCCTCTTCAGATCAGCCCTCCGCTCGGCAACGTGTCGGGCGGCGAGGCCTCAGTTCCGCGCTTTCTCCCTCACAGCCGTCCGCCCCAGCGACACTCTCCAAGTGGTAAGCAGCCTCGCTTTCGCCCTTCGCCCAACATCAATTGCACTTGTAGCACGACTACAAGGGCTCCCCGATACTCATAAATCGTCGTTGGGACATGTCTTCCCCAAGTCAATCGCTAATCCTCTCCTGTCCGACAGCACCGCGACACCCCGAAAAACAACACCGATATTCCCTTCAAGTTCACCAAGGAGAATGAGGCCGTCATCAACGAAATTCTGAAGCGCTACCCGCCGCAATATAAGAAGGCCGCTGTCATGCCCATCCTCGACCTTGGTCAGCGCCAGCACGGCTTCACCAGCATCAGCGTCATGAACGAAGTCGCCCGCATGCTCGAGATGCCCCCTCAGCGCGTCTACGAAGTCGCATCTTTCTACACCATGTACAACCGCACCCCTGTCGGAAAGTACTTCATCCAGGCCTGCACAACTGTGAGTCCGTCATTTTGCTGCGATATATCCATTCGATCTGTACAATAAGCACTCTCCGAAGTTCCCGTGGCCACACTATAGTAGGGAAGCGATGTCTTTGATACACGCCGTGCCTGCGGGAACATGCAAACCAATACGACATCTTCTAGAATTGGGCAGTATAGCTAATATGTTAAATACAGACCCCCTGCCAACTTGGCGGCGTCGGCTCCGACGTAATCGTCAAGGCCATCACCGACCACCTCGGCATTAAGCAGGGCGAGACCACAAAGGACGGCCTGTTCACCCTCCTCGAAGTCGAATGCCTCGGTGCCTGCGTCAACGCCCCCATGATCCAGATCAACGACGACTACTACGAGGACCTCACTCCCGAGACGACCATCCAGCTCCTCGACGCCTTCAAGGCTACTGCTTCTGCCACCGGTGGTGCCTCCGCCGCCCAGGTCCCAAAGCCCGGCCCAATCAAGAGCGGTCGTCAAACCTGCGAAAACTCCAATGGCCTGACGAACCTCACTTCCGAGCCGTGGGGCCCCGAGACGACGCGGAGCGATTTGTAAGAATTTGGTGGCGAGAGAGGACAGCGGAGGAAGGCGAGGAGAACATTAGCGCACGCGCAGAAGTCGGGATAAGCCCACGAAAGGGCCCAAGCGAAATGGAACAGAGCCGGTGGGAGTCCGGCTTGTATATAAAACACAATGTGCTGTATTCGGAATGCATGGGATATCGGTTTAGAGATTCATGGTCTTCTGTTCCTACCCCGAGACGGCGGATATCTGCCTAATTCCCTTTTTTTTTTGGTTCAACGTGATGATCTTTTGTTTTGTTTTGTTTTAAAAACTTGTGAATGAATTGCCGCTCGAAATATGTTTTGTTTGATATAAACCTGGGACATGAAGGAAAAATATTCACTGTATGCAGCTTTTAATGCGCCGTCTCACTCGGGGATCCTCAGGATCCAGCCATCTGGCAGTCTCTTGTTTTCGGAGCTCAATCCCCCCAAGACAACGACACCGGCCTCTTCCACGTCTCCCATAGCCGCCGCCGCGAACCAACCGCGCGGCGCGGGCTCGCCATCATCGTTATCGTCGTCATACGGCTCCATCGACAGTCTCGTCCACTTGCCTTCGCCCGTGGGACGGCCGAGGGCCTGCAACATGGCATCGCGCACGCTGGCGGCCGTCATCCCCAGCGGCGGGACCTGGAACGCCCACACGTCGTCCCACATTGCACCGGCGCCCGAGTGGCCGTCCGGGCTGGGGTCGCGCTCGCCCATGATGAGGAGCAGGTACTCGCGGCCGGCGCCGACGGTGACGGCCTCTAGACCCGCTACGCTGCGGTGGCCGGGCCACGTCTGGCCGGGAACGAGGTGGATCTCTTGCTCGCCGGCGCTGCTTGCACCCTGGGCGATGCTCTGCCAGCCGCCGCGGCCGTGAACGGCGATTTCGCCCTTGGAGACGCCGTCGTCAAAGGTGTCCATCTCGAGATGAATGAAGTCGAGCTGTCCGCCGATTTCGCCCTTGCCGTCATACCCGCCGAAACGGAACAGCCGGCTCTTGCTGACGGTGATGGCGGCGCCGCCGCGCGCGGGGCCGGGTGCGGACGGGAGCTGGCTCCACACTCTGCTTCGCACGTCAAAGGCCCAGAGGTCGTTGGTGCGCTCCCCGCTGGTGAGGCAGCCGGCGTGGACGAAGAAGGTGCCGTACCCGTCGTCCTCCTCGTCCGTCGCGTTGGCCGCGGCGTGGCCGACGATGGGCGCCTGGGGGATGCCGACGTCGGCGCTATCTCCCTGGGCCCAGGCTCTCCAGGTCTGCTTGCCGCGGGTGTGTTTGGGGGCGAAGTCGCGCGGGCGGTCGGTCGCGGCGGCGGAGTGGTAGCTGCGCGGGGAGGGCATCGGCAGGTTGGTGACGCCGGGGGCGGGGGGTACGGGGTCGAGGAAGGACCAGGAGTTGGTTCGGGTGTCAAAGACCCAGACGCGGCCGGCCTCCTCGACGGGCGTCATGTCCGGGCCGCCGCGGCCGCCGTAGAGGAAGATGCGGCTGCCGATGACTGCGGTGGCGTGGCCGACGCGGGGACTCGGGACGTCGCCGAGGGCGGCGAGGGGCTCAGGGAGGGCTGGGCCTTTGCCTTTGCCTTTGCCCACGGCGGTGGCTGCGCTTGTGCTTTGCTCGCCGGCTCCTCCGAGGGGCGCGTAATCTTCTCCTTCTTCTCCCGTGACGCCTGGTGAGGCGAGAGATACTTCGTCGAGGAGCTGTTCCTTCAAGGCGGCCTTGTCCTCGATGTCGCCGGCTGGTTCGGGCTGCTCGTCGATCTTCTCCTCCGTCTTTTCCGCGGCGGGCTCGGCGTCGGCGGGCGGGGAGTACTGCTTCGCGGGGGCGGACTTGATCTTGTAGTAGTCGGCACCGGCGCTGTTGTAGGGAAGCCTAATGACGTGGACGTCGTTGTCGACGGGTTCGCGGGGCTTCACCTCGCCGCCAAAGACGTAGGCGGAGCCGTTGACAACGTTGACGGTATGGGAGGAGCGAGCGAGGGGTGGGACATCGATTCGTTCCCACGTGCCCTTCATGGGCTTGGGGCCAGCGCCGCTGGAAAGAGACGGCCTCTTCACATTAGGCATATTGGGCATATTGGGTAGATTCTGCGGGAGAGATTGGAGGATCTCGGTCGTCCGCCGTTTGAGAGCTCCGAAAGACTCCATGATTGCTGCTGAACGCTGTTTCACGGTATGGAATGTCGAATGCCAGTTAGAAGAGGAGAAGGAGGGAAGAGGTGGGCGCAATTGGGTTAATACGAAGTCAAGTTTGTATGCTGACTGCGTTGCTGATGTGATGTTTGGGATGGGCCTCGATGATATGACGTAGCGAAGGGACCCTCAGCTCAGCTCGGGGGTGTGTTTCTTTGGTGGGTTGTAAGCGGGCAGTATAACAAGCTCCGGATGCGAACCAAACGGCGATGAATGGGTGAAGGAGAGAGCAATGAAGGCAATGGAAAGCAGGGCATAGACTAGTCCCACGGGTAATATGTCAGCTTTTGACCAGATAGATAGCCAATTGGCAAAGGAAGTTTTCCCCTTCCTTAAATTTCTCTGTCGTCTCGATCTCTCGTATCACATAGACGCTTGTTGCCAGCGGCGCCGGCTGTGTACAATGAGGATGGCTCAGCTTGCAGAGGGAAGCGGGGGCGGGCGCAGGCTCCCTAGAGCTCCCGTCCTGTTCATCCTATCAGGGATGTAGAATGCACGCCTGCGGAATACCTTAGTGGACGGGGCCAGGCACTTAGTGGTCGGCGGTGCTGTCGGTGGAGTTTAGTCGCCGGATTTCTTAGCAGGGACCTCCCGTATTTGGGATGCACTGTCAGGAGAGGAGAGGACCCTGGTTTTGTTGCCGTGAAGCCAACCTGCAGACTGTATGGATACAGTCCGCCAACAACCTGCTCCGACCCAGCGATTCTTGGCCTTCGTCGCCGGGGGAACACGATTATCAAATCACGCTTCGCAAGCTTTATAGCTAAGGGGCCAGGGCAATGATTTGATCGCCAACTGACAGCGGCACAACAGGCTGGCAGACAACGATGGTGCCACAGCATCCCCCTTCGGACACGACTCAGCATGATCCCACTTTGGCCCCTCCAAAACTGTACATTGGAGTCGATGATGCCCAATCACGAGCCGATCCCGTTGATAAAGGCGACAAGATGCCTTGTAGATGCAAAATCCTTGTGTTACCCGTTCGTTGCATTCGCTTTCGAGACTTGCAGGGCACTTGATACCGAAGCCGCCGAGCCATCGGGCATTGGCCTCACCTGTCTGTCGCCTTGTGCCTCTCAACGTTTGGCCATGATCTCAGCACTTGTTCTTTGGGGAGCTACAAAGAAGTCCTTGATGGAGGTGGTAATTTACTTTAGGCGATTATCGGCTAGGCGCCTCATTCACACAATGGCTACTACCTTCTTAATACCTAGGCAGTGACGACTGAAGACTGCCTGTTAATCGGTCCTCCAGTCGGGGCGACTTCGGCCCCGCGAATCCAGCGCCCCGTGGCCCCACATCGGGCCCGAGTCCGCAATCCGGCGCCGTACTACTCACGGAGTCGATGAATACAACGGCGACCGCATGCCGTGGCAACGGCCAGCATACCATTCCAGGAAGCAAGCGTCAGAAGCCACCCGATGGACCAAGGGCACCAGCTTGAGTAACTGCTCACTATCGCGTTCTCCCCTCGGAAAGGATCCTGCTGGATTTAACCCCCTGCTGTCTCAACGACGCGTGACTACCTGCGTAGGCGTTTTTACCACTTCCTTCAAATGTGCAGAGAATTTTTTGAGTTATTTTCAGCTTCTCCGTCCACAATCCTAGGTCACCACGATCTCGTTGTGGTTCTTCAGGCTACGGCTTGTTGGAGAAGAAGCTAGCACTCAGCTGTAGCGAAATACGAACCGTCATACGCATAAGCCTGCTGGGCTGTTATCTAGAATAGCATCTAAGATCGACTTTTTTTCGATTGGAAATAGCTACTAGCGAATGCCGTCGTCGCTGAGGGCCAAGAGGAGAGGAATAACGAGAGCTGCTTCCTACGCTCGAACACGAGGCGGCGTACAGTAGCGCAACAAAAGTGCAATGCTGAGGCCACTGACTGACAACTCGGGAGCCTCTGATCAACCTCAGCCGTGAAACACACTTACCGGGCTTTCCAATCTGAAGCAGGCGCGGTAAAATGACGCTTGCCGCCAAACCTTCGTCGTCATAGATCCAGCCTGTTGGCACCACATGTTTTTGGGGGCCATGATCACGCACGATTGCAACGTCCCATCGCGAAAGCTGCCTCAAGAAGAAACACATTCGCGGCACTGCCACGAAAAGCACATCTAGATAAACGCTGCAGACGCAGGCAGACGCAGGCAGACGCAAGCAACCCCACCCCCTTCCATCTCCTCCAAGCTGCACCGTCGGCTAATGTGTCCACCCACCAGCCGCCGCCGCGGCGCAGTCCAATAAGTTGCAGCACACAATCCGATGGAGCCCTGTTGGAATTGGGATATGTTCTTTTCGCTGCCGCCCTCGCGCGCGGGACGGAGAGTGTGTGTGGGCAAACCCGTGGATGGTCTGCTGGGCTAATCTGCGTCCCAGCCCCCGGCCGGAGAACCGTTGGCGGCATGCGAGCTGCGTTGCGTGGCTGAGCCTCTCCACCTGCGGCGTGCGGGGGGTGGTGGTGGTGGTGGGAAAAGGTAAAAGTGTGGATAGGTAAGTAATTACTCTGTTCATGTTCATGTTCAGCTTGCAGGACGAGAGCTGGCTGGCCGGCCGGCCGGTGTCCAACGCGTACTAGTGCTGACGGGTTCGGTTGCGCCTCAGCCCATCGATTCTCTTGTCTCTCGATCCGAGTCTTTCTTTTTTTTTTTGTCTGGGCCGCGCCTCCGCGACCAACACCCACCATCGCCACCCTATGGTGTCTAATCGAACATGCAAAGCGCAGAGAGGGGGTAAGAAAAAAAAAAAAGACATAGAGCAAATCAGGTTTTAACCCTCTTTCTTTCCATATTCGGAGGGCCGCCGGAAAGGCAACCTCGACATGCGATGTATTTGTCTCGTGTCTTACACCACTCACACCCCTTCGATTCCCTCATCCCCCGTACGTCTCCCCACTACCTCGCCCTACGGAATATGGGATGAAGGAATCGAAGGAATGCGTGTCAGAACTCAGAACGATGGGCGACACGCGGGTACGGTTTCCTATCTGTACCTCACAGCTAGCTAGGCATACCCCCTTCGTCGAAGCCACTCATCAGAACGGGAGAAGAATCCGAAAACACTTCCCTTATGCAAGAGCGCGAGTGTCCACCACCACCACCACCACCACCAACCAACCAACCAACCAGGTCAGCATTCTCTCTCTGAGCGCCCCGTCCACTCGTTTCCTCCCATCCCTTACGGCGGACGTATCGATTAACGCCAGGGCGGTACCTCTGGAGCCGCATTACTCAGGGTTTCGCGGGCTGCCCACACCCCAAGGCTCGAGGTGAGGTCGCCTCCAGTGACGGCCGCTGCTGTTGGTGCGGGGACTAGGTTTTCAGTGGTGAACGTGTAAGTGGTGTAAGTGGTGGTCGCTGTCGCGTAAGTCGGACGGCTCTTTGCTGCCGCTGCCCCTGCAAAGATGAAGCTCAAACGCCAGCCGAGCCATCTTAAATCAGCCACATGGCGCGCGGAAGAGAAGGTATCTGGCGGCTCGCCTGTCTGAAAGCGCGCTCAGTTTGACTGCTTGGCCGCGTTGGAGGACTCGGGAGGGGCAGCATGACTGGGAGTTGCACTGCGCGGAACTGTACCGGTATGACATTTGGTACATGGTACGAGGAGAAAGGGTCATACCTCTCCTATTCCCATTCGCTTCGTCCCCATGCGGGATTGTAGTATGTTATTCAGAGCTTGGTGCCGAGGCAGGCCTGAGGCTGGCGTCCTTTCATAGATGAAAGGATACATCACAGTGCTATCACTCAAAGGTAGGCACTTAAACTGGAAGTTCAGCGTAGCAAGTTGGTATCAATGCAGAGGACTATCAATATGTATCAGATCATGACTATGAATTATATCCTGTTCTCGTTTCCGCTCCGTTCTACCAACTGCATCTCCGCCCAAAAATGAAAGTCTTTTCCCTAAGCCGCATTACTCCTTCGCGATCAACCAAATTGCAGAAGCATAAACTCCAGCCATGAGAGACGTTCGAAGAACCGAGTTGAGAGACTGCAAAAGAAGAGGTATCTAATAAAGTGAAAGGCAAACTGCAAGGACAAGCCTTCAACTCCCGAGATGTCAGAAGAGACAGCTCGACAAAGTAACGTATATATGACCAATATCAATCATGGAGACTGAGTCATGGAGTTAATCACTCTTCATCCTCACCCTCAGCATCCTCGTCGGAGCAGACTGCAACGACAATCTCCTTTTGAACTGAGTTGTTACTGCTGCTGCTACCCCCCTTCCCGTTCCCCGCGGAAGGTCCAACCTCTCCTTTAAGCGGATTAATGAGCTCCCATTGAACAGTCATGTTCCTTGTCCGGCGGACAACGTAAACATCAGCGCTGGAGGCCCATTGTGTGAGGGTTGGGTCGTGTTCTCCGCCAAAGTGAACCATGGGCTCTTTTCCTTCGGCGGCGCGCTCGAGATGTCGCGCAACGTGCTCCATGCGTTCGTCCCAGGCTTGGGGTCCGGTGAAGTCGTGCCCGCAGTTGATAGCTGGGCAGCGCATGTAACGCGGCAGATTGCAGCGAATTTTCTCTGCCTTGATCTGGAGAATCTTGAGATGATCGTCCCATTCAGGGGTAGACTTCTTCTGCTTCTGGGCCTTGCGGACGTCGGGTGGGACGTGCATGCGGCGGACGTGTTGCGTGTAGAGGTCTTTGCGGTTGAAAATGGCGCCGTTTGGCAGGGCCGGGGGTGTCGGCGTGGCAGAGCAGGAGGAAGAGGAGGAGGAACGTCGATTGGTTGGAGGATTGGTTGTCTTGCAGCAGCCGTCCTGAATGCAGAGCCAGTACTGGAGAGCCAGGTGCTGTGAGCTTACATGACGCTTCCATTCGTTCTTGCTGGCGAAGGTGGATGGACAGCCAGCATAGTTGAAGACGCAAACGAAGGGGCGGGTATGATGTTGCTTCATATGCTTCTGGTGGGTGCTCTCGTCTGAAAAGGGGGTGTTGCACTCTTTGCAAAGGATCTTGGGAGTCCTGATCGACGAAAGTGTCGCATTCAGTCTAGCTGACGAAAGGCCGCCAGAATTGTTGTTGATTTTCGATCGCTTTCGTTCATGAGACGAACCGGAGGGGCGAGCCTGTGATTTCGTCGTGGTGTTGCGGAAGCGTTTCCTCGAATGCTTGGGCTTGTAGTCTAAGTCCTTGTCGTCGTCAATGGCGAGAGGCTCGGCCTTGATCTCAGGTTCGAAGATGCTTGTATCGCCCGTTTCAGGGTCAGGGTAGTTTGGTTCCAAAGGGAGTTCGACGAAGGACGCCTCCTGTTTGATAACAGGCTCTGGGGTGATTTGCCGTGACGAGAAAGCCGAGTGCTGGACAACACTTGCATCATCAGACTCTGAGCAGCAGAAGTTACTAAAGGTTGCCGTGCTGTCAAAGGTTGTTGGGACTATCTCGTTCTCAAACATGTCGTTCACCTCGTGGGGGTTGACGCAAGCATTCCGCATGTCGAGGCCAAGCAGCGTGTGAGACTGGAACTGGGCTTCCCAATCTCCGGTGTACTGCTTTTGCTGCAAGAAAGGAGAAGTGGCCGAATAGTCCGGGGGAGTTGCAGGGAGAACATCACTCTCCGTGGGTGGGCTGTGGGAATCACTGCTGGATAGCGTCTGCTGAGAACACGGAGAACCGTGTCTCCTCTGCGAAGCTGGAGGAAGTAGGTTTGATTCCTTGGCAGGTCGGCTCAGACTGTGCAATCCTTGGGCATGGTCAGGAACGAAGAAGGCTGTCCGTGGTCCGTCCATGTATTGCTGAATCTGGTGGGTTTGGTGCGCCGGCCATGGGGTTTGGCATTGCGAATGGGAGAAGGGTCCAAGACTGGGATCGACTGGTGCCGGGGAACTCGAGGTTGTTGAACTTTCGAGGTAGGCCATGGGCATCTGGCCGTAACTCTGCTGTTCATAATACACCTGATCATTGGAGAAATGCCCTCCTTGGACACCCTCATAGTAGTAGGCCATGCTGTGTGCTTGCTCAAGGTAGAAGGCTCGATAAAGTGGTGGTAGTCTGCTCCAACGGGTCAGGGGAGCACCCCGAATGTAAGTCTCCTTGGAAAGGGTAACTGGTAGCTTTTGTCCGGGTGGAAAGGCGTCGTAGTACTGATCCGACCAGTTATGAGGGCTTCATCGAGGACCAAACCAAAGGGCTGTTGATGTTGGAAAGCTGGAGGATGTGCTCTAGACTTAAACAAAAAGACGAGGCAGTTATAAGAGAGCGGACAATCTGACAAGTGTACGAATATAGAGACTCGCTGTCTTCATACTTGGTCTGAATAGCAAGAGACACGACAATGTCATCGAACACCTACCAAAGAGGCGGAGCCTGGTGTATATAAACCCATGAGGTGTATGAACATACTGGTAGTACATGGAATGCGCCAGGGCAGTCGCCCAGGCGTTCCCCAGAGCTCTCTGCTCTGGGGGACAGAAGAGAACCCCCATCAGCGCGGGTACGTACTTTTTGCAGAGCCTCATGTGGGCACAGAGGACCAGCGAGCGCAGATTGAGAGGTGAGAAGGAAGAGGCAAGGATGTGCGGTGGAGGGCCATCATCATCAGGCGCATATGCACACCCCTGAAGCCTCAAGACTGTGGCAGGGAACATGTGTGGTGTGGGCTGGCACACCATCAGGGCCTAGTCTCTAGTGGCTACAGCAGATGTGTATTTCTGTATAAAATTATACAGGTCTGCTCTGGCTGGTCAACTCTGTTGGGGGCCGGTTCGCGCACCACTGTCTGGTCAGGGGGGCAATTGGAGGGTGGTGGTGGGTGAGGGCAGACGAGAGGAGGCGCTAGGGCTGCGGCTGCGGCTGGTCCGTCTTTCTACTCCACGGCCGACGGGACGGACAGCTTCTGAGGTAGCCTCTGATGGGTTGGCTTAGACGTGGCTCCCGTCGCCTCTAGGCAGATACCGATGGGTTGCCTTACCCGGGTTGCCTTGTCTCTGACGAATGGGCAATGACCTCAAAGGTCATCACGAAGGCTCATCATCGAGTTGCTGTGTCGGTGCATGCGAGTCGAATCAACTCGACGACGCGGCAGTCGACAGGTGCGTCGACGGAGGAGAGACATGCTGTCTACCCCTTCTCTTGGCTGCTTCAGCCGCCGCCACAAAGATGTGATGTCTGTCAAGAACGCACTGCAGACGTCGCTGATGATCCTTGCTGGGGATGCTGGCCAGCTATGGGTTTTGACGTTGGCAATTGAACGTGATAAGTCGGACCTCTGCAATCCAGATAGTTGATCCATTTCAGCAAGACCGAGCCAGGGTTTGGGTCGTGTCGAGTAAGATATCCATCCGTACCACGTAGCGTCAGACCCTCTCGATTCCACAGCCCAGGCCGACAAGCTGCTTGGCTTGCTTGAATGGCGTCCAAGGGGTTCAACAAGGAAGACGTGCGAAGAAGGTGTGCGCCGGGTACTCCGCTGAGGAATGAGGAATGAGGAGTCGGCCGAGATACTTGGCTCCTCTGCAACTGGAATACATCCCTGACTGAGTAGGTGGACGGTCAAATGAAAGCCGAGCTAAGGTCTCAACACGGCATGGAGGCATGCCATGTGCCTATTTCCCTTGACAGTGACAAAGGCAGAAGGCAAAGGTACATTGACACAAGCCTAAATGATCGTCCGGGGTTTAGACGGTGGGCGAAGAAGGGAGCGCGCACTCGCGCAGATCGGAGAATGTGAGGACGTAAGGCCGCGGTTGGCAGACTTGATCACGCAGTGCTGGGGCTCCGTTGTGGTGGAGAGGAGCGGACAGGACCCCAAGAGCACCATGAAGTTGATGGGTGGAGGAGGGAGGAGAGACGGAGAGGGACGGTGGGACGGACGGAGCTGGTTGCGAGAGATGAAGAGAGAGGGACCCGGGAGAGACAGAGAGAAGGAAAGACACCAGCTTGGAAGCCGAATCTTGGACAGGTACGTATCTATACCTACCTTGAGGTACCCAGGCAAGGTATCAGAGGAAGGGAAAACGACGTATCGCATCGCGCATCTGCGCAGCAAGTATAGCAGGTACAGCAAATGCAGCTCGACGTCTTTTCTTGCTATTGGTTCGTCGGCCCACGAGGCGTACTCCCGAATAAGGCAGCCACAGGCTGACTAGCGCAAGTCGCAAAAGGACTGGGCATGATACCTAAGGTTAGTATCGACTGGTGAGGTGGGGAGCCAGATAGGAGAGATTCGAGAGAAGACTCAGAAGAGACTCCCGGTCGAGCAGAATTCCAGATATTACCTTACGGACCGACCCCACCAGTCCGGTCGACGGCTCCAGGGACATGGAACATGAAGCGTCAACCATCATCGAGCAACAAGCGCGGGTGCAGGAGCATCAGCAAGGGGGAAAAGGCACCAACAACCTCGACCGGCCAGGTACCTTGGGAGGTATCTAATTGTATCAGTACCTTCCCACCTCCAGGGCTGTAAAAGATGGCGCCCTCCTCGATGCAACTTGACTCCAAGTTTGTTCATTGCCTGCAGTGTTGGCTTACATTGTAGGTACCGTGAGAAGTCCCGCGGTGGGCTTCACCTATAAGGCAAGGTAGGCGAGCTAAGGTAAGCTCAGCAAATGCTACACAGCGTGACAGCTTGACAGGAGGCGCGGGCCAGCAATGTAAGGTGGTCAGCCACTGGGCAGAAAAATCAAATTCCGACTTGACTCCCCCTCACTTCCCGTCCTCGCAACACAAATCCGACATCTTGCCAAGGATGGGTAGGTGCTTGTGTAACGTCCTGTCATCGACACGCCTCCCGTCCACTCCCTCGACTTCTACGGCGGAGCACCAGGTAGGTAGGTACTTCGCTATCGAGGACGGGACCGTCCCGCAACAAGCTCCGTGCCACGGCCCATAACTACCTTGCCATGCACAATGTCACCACGCCCAGCGGCTTTTGCCGTCTAAGGCAAGCCATTCGGCCAACGGGCTTACACTGGGACTACTCCCAGGCCATGGTACCCCTGTGCCGGCTGCCCTTGGCTTGCGCCTTGAAGCCGTCTCCACGTCCCACGCGGTCCAGGTATCTGCCCGGATATAGCAAACCGGACGAACTGACAGATGGACGGAGCCACGCTAAAACAGAGCGAGACGCACATATTCGGACTTACTTTATGCTCCACAAACCCCGATGGCCCCCGAATATTGATATTGCCAATAACCCTGCGCGCTGGCTGATGGATTCCTCCATCGATACACCTCGGAATATCCATACGCTGCACTATCTGTACTTGGAATCACAGCAAATGGAACCCCCCGATATCACCCCCGGTCACTGGCTCCTCCTTGCCAACAAGCCGTTACGACCCAGTAAGAGAACGTCGTTGGCCGTGTCTCCGTTCCGGCTTCAGTATCCCAACGCGTCACATCCACTACGGCTTCGAACCCCTTTGGGGAAGCGCTCACACACCCATTCACTGCAATGATGGCGTGAATCCATTTACGCACCAGCAAGCCTCTCCTCCTTTCAGCAATAGCAAATCTTGGCATTTCGCAAGGTCCAAAGGCCCGTCCAACGATCGTTCCTTCGCTCTTTTTCCCGCCCTCGTCCCGCCTTCTTCACCCAGTCAATTGGTTTGCTACCATTTGTGGGTACAGTACACGCGCATCCGCGCACCTAGGACGCCGATTATCTGAAGACAGTCCGTTATAGCATACACACCCCTCTGGACATGAGTAGCACACACCCGGTACCGACTGGGCAATGTGCGAAGCGTCGGGGGATCGAGAACCCTGGCTCCTTCGGACTCGCCTGTCGATCACTCGTGGGGACTCGACAGACATCGCCGAGAGTGAGTAGGTTGCTACACTTGAGACTCGATCGAATTCAGAGCGCTTCTTCTCGGACTTATCTGCACGATGGCGCGCCGATGCTCGTTTCCTCCTTAATTAGCCCGGACGTGCTATCTCAGCAACAGAAGCCAGCCAATCAATGTGACTTTTGCCATATTTACTAGGTACTTTGCCGGTTTCCAGCTCCGTCGCGCAATTTCAATCATGGCCTTCCCAGGCGACCACTTGCTCGCAACTTCCTCGTACGTAGTAGGTGTGGCCCGGAACGAGCACCGTAAAAGTTTAGTACTTGCCTGCCGGGACGGCAACAGGGAAATGCCAGGTTAGGGGTCTCTGTTGTTAGTGGCTTCATCTCTCTTCCCGGGGCTCAAGGGTTCCTTTCCCAGAATCCAGACCCCAACATCTAGAACAGGTATGACACGGCACAGACTTCATTGGCTGGCCAAGCCAAAGCTGAACAAGAAATCACTAAACCGCTGAAATCCGACCCAGACAGCAACCATTTCGAGTCCCAACCACGCCAGCCGGGAGCCAACTCCGCTGAACCCTTGCTTTCGGATCGTTGCACAGATTGCTAAATCTCAAAATCGAGCACGCATCATTCTTCGACCTCGACGCTCGCAAGACGAGAGGCAAGCATGGACAGCCAACTCTGTCAAGTTCTGCGACTGTTGGATGAATGGATCCTTGGAGGGCTCGCGGTCCACCCAGGGTTTGTCTCCGCAGGTCTATCAGGTTGCGGATCACGAAAACGTGTCTCACGTCCCCAATGTCTGCGGGTCTAGCAGCGTTGCCCACGTGAGTTTAGAGGACCGCGCAACTCGCGCGGAGACAAATGTAGAACCCGCGCGGAGTGCGCGGCAGTTCTATTTCTGAACGTGCTCTTTTTTTTTTTCACGCCAATAACGCCAAAGCCCTCTCCAGGGGCTCTCGCTAATTAGGCATCTGGATTCTGAGACCTGCTTCTTCGATTCAACAATCCCTTGCCCATAGAATCGGCAGATCGGAATTGAGATAGATCTTGGATAACTCTAGTCACTTCTCCTCGGCAAGGCGGAGTCACATTGCATCAAATATTCCACCATGAAACGATCTGCAAGCATCTTCGGAGAAGGATTCTCCCAAAAGAGACAACACGCCCGCGGTGGTTCCAGCTTGTTGGTCCACAACAGCTTCAACAGATGATCCAGATCGAGACCTTCGTGTTTACTCTGCATCGCCGTTCTCAAGGGTAATTCATCGCCTTATGGTTCCCTTCCTTTTGGCACCCTGTAGATGGCCTGACCGAAGTTGACCTTGTGGTGTTTCCCTCAAGGCCCATCAAAAGCAAGACCCCCGTGACATTCGGAATTCGCGTTGCTGACGGGATTGAGATTCGTCTGGTTCTTTTTATGGCTAAAGAAGAACGATCAGTAGATAACGGAATACAGAGTAAGGGTAGTTTGCTCATTGACCCAGCAATGGGACATTAGCGAGAGGAGAGCCATCATCGTCGTCATCGTTTGAGTTTGTTGGATGTGAATCGGCGGAACCCATGACAAGAGCGTACATATGATATTAATGGGTTGGAGAATGAGATTTCCTGAGACCGCCTTGGACCGGTTTTGAAGCAATAAATCAGTACCAAGCCTCGCATGATATTGAATACCCCGATCACATATTGTCTCAGGGTTGCAATTTTGGTCTAGGAGGTCGACCGGCATGCGTATTCATCTTGCTAATTAATCCGTAGCCTGGTCTACTACTTGAAGCTCCTGCAAAGACTCTGTTCACTCATTTCCAGCTGTTGTCTGGCTCTCCGAAACATCACCGCGATCATGGTTGGTCCATTTCATAACCCGGAGCTGTTCCCATGACCGACCAATTTCCCAGCAGCTACCCGTCCCCAGAGAGAAGGTGAGCCGTCGGATCCAACTCGCCGCAATGATGCAGGACGCGAACCCTGACAATACGTTTTCCCACACGCAACATTCTCCGTCGACTCAAATTCCGCGGCTCCTTTTCCCACAAGACCCTCGAGCCACCTCGAAGCATAGAGATGACACGCCCACACACACACACACACACACACAACCACGCACACCCCCTCTGGATACAAGCCGAGGGCTGAGAAGATTCGAAGGAGATGAGAAAGAAAGTATGCACATATCTTCCACGAGGCGTGTTGCATGCACATCATTGCGTTACCTTCCTGCCTCGTTGTTTGCTGCTTCCTGCTTCCTGCGCCTGCCCAACCTTGCACTGCCCTGCCCTGTTCTGCCTAGCCATGCCTCGCCTACCTTCCCCCCCCGGCTTCCACACGTTACACAACGTGGACCACCCCTCTGTACAGGGTAATGGTTCGACTTTCGGGTTATGGGCCAATACTGTGTTGTTTGCTTCCGCTGTGGCTGGCCCGGCATGTCTTGCGACCCCAAAATAGATGGAGGCCCAGGAGCTGGAACGGATGCCTGGAAGGTTGAGGGAGGCGAAAGGAGACGGCGAAGAAGAGTTGGGAGAATACGCAGATGAAGAAGCGTATCATTTACAAAGATGGAGGGGGTGCCTGTGAACTTGATCCGATGGTGGGTGACCGACCAGTCCTACGGAATCGGAGCAGACTCATGAGTGGCTCCCGATATCCGTGGCGCCCACGTCAATGGCGCAACTCTTCTGAAGCGGCTTCCAGAAGGGAAGCAAACACCATTTACCCAATGCCCAGGTCCTGGGACGGTTGCCGTCGAAGAAATGTGCTTGTCAAAGAGCCGACGCCTTCTACGGGATCTCTTCTTTTACTGGTTCCCAGCCTATTAGCCCATGAGTTGTTCTACCCCGATGCGGGATGAGGGTGGCTATAGAGTTGTTTGCGCTTCTTTCGTGCGATTCGGGTCCGGAAGAGACCCAAGGAGGGCATCGTGGAAAGGAGCCAATGTCTGGTTCCGGGGGTTCTTACACACATGGTTATGAGTTCTTGCCAGGGATACACACACACACACACACGCCGTCGTCACCCACGTGGATATCATATCAAGAGATGTCAGGCACTCCCTAAAGACACATAAACGGTGTTGATGGGCGCAACACTTGACAGGGGTAATGAGGGAACTGCTTTCACCGAGGGTGTGGATCTCGGACTTGCATTGTGGGAAGGATATCATTGTTGACAGGCGCTGCCCGAGACGCCCGCCTTTCTCTTTCTTTGCTCTACTTTGATGAGGAATATTGAAATCGGAATATAGGCAAGGACTAGCCGCAAATTCTGTAGCAAAGATAAATCCAAACAAGCAAAGGGGGATCATCGTCCCTTCGTGGAGCACTTCCATCATGTCATCTTTCGCCCGTCCATCATAACTCCATGTCCTCCTTAGCGAAACGTGGGTACAGAGGATGCTTTCAACGGAATATCTTCGGCAATTGCATTCCTGGCAAGCGAATACCTCTATACGTGGTTCAAGTTGCCGCCGGTGCTTTTGGCGTCCCTATCTTCCTGAATCTGAACCCACTCTCCACTGCATTGAGGACAACGCCTGTGATAGCAGCCCACACAGGTCGAATGCACTGTATAGTCTGCAAAACACTCACACGAGCACTGGCCAGGTGCCATGTTAGCATTCCTAAGCAAGTCAAAGCGTGGGTGATTATGAGCAACTCACGCAGGACCACATGTATGTCTTCATCCGCTTATGGTCAGGTTCGGCGCCGTCATCCAAGCTTCTCTTTCTCGACTGGCCATTGACAAGTTTGCCGTTGTTCGTCGACTTCCGCGAGCCGGAAACAATTACATCATCAGCTGATTCTGCATCGCTCAAGTCATCTTGAGACCCGGTGGGGTCCACGTCTGCCGTGTCGGGATCGACAGCTGCCCACTCGGAGTGGTCCTTCTTGGTCAAGCCGCCACGTCCAGCGTAGTGGTTATCGATGTGATCGAATCTTTCGGCCCAGGCGTTGGCACCCTTGCGTGTGATTTCGACTATCTCGCCACAGAAGCCGCACCAGAACTTCGGTTCTCCGTTCCGACCGACGCGGCACTTCTCGAGGGTCTGCTCAATATTGGACATGTTGTCCATCTTGTGTTCATTTTTAAGGTGGCTTCGGAAAGTTTCTCGGCGATGGCAGACCTTGCCACAATTCTCACTGTCATCTTCAGACCGTTTTTCGTGACATTTCCACACCTCAAGCTGGAAATGCTGGCTGTTCTCGTGACGTTTCCAATCGTTTTTGCTGCCAAACTTCTTCTTACAACTGGCAAACGTGCATCCATATGGTTTTTCGTGACGCTTCATATGCTTCCTATCTCTTGGTTAACGGACTGAATATATGAGATAAGAGTAGCAATACATACTTGAGTTCACACTTGCGGTTGAAGACTTTCGCACAGCTGGAGCACTGATGCTGGCTGTCAGCACTGCTGTTTGCCGTTGGTGTAGATCCCTCGAGGTTTGATTCCTTCTGAGTCTTCATGAATCTTTCGATGATACTCCTAGGCATCTTCGAAAGACATTCAAGCATGGTCTTCTCACTCGGACCCTTGCTTGGAGACAAGAGAATAGGATGGTGGAAAATTTTCTCCCCCTGAGCTGGATCTTCGTTGGCAGGTTGGCTGCCAGTACTTGTATCGTCCGACGCGCGAGGGATCGGGGTAGTGCTAGTGACCTCACAATCCATAACATCTGTTGGGGAGGCCTCGAATGTATCATTGCGGGTGCTGTTTAATTTGTTGGCATTGGGATCGATGTTCAAGCTCACGGCGGCAGGAGCACTCGCGGATTGGGCTTCGCGAATGACACTAGATTTTTGGCCCCTTCGTGTTCCAGTCATGGCCCTTGGAGATGGCGCTTTCGAAATTTCCCCGGGCTGTACGTATTGCTGACGGGGTTGAGAGCTGTCGCACACCGGGTGGCAATCATTGTCGTGCAATTGGGCGTTGGAAATAACCTTGTCGGCAATGGGCGATTCGAGACAGGCACCGGACACTGCGCCGTTCATTCGCGCCAGGGACGGATCGACGAGTACAATCTCCATGCCGCCGACTGATTCCTGAGGGGAGAGCTGAACATCCTCAAAAATTGGCGATGGGCCATCCCAAGTCATGGAGTTGGCCTGATAGAACTCTGATCCCACGCCCACACCTTCGAGGACGTTTTGTGCATCTTGGGTATAAGTTGGCCCTGATGACCGTTGGGCAGGAGGTCTGCAATCTGTTAGGCGCATTGACCAATTGCACACAATTGTTCACTCACTGGAAGACGAAATCGCTGAGGTCATCCTCGGAGTTGACATTTTGATGATGCACGCGCTTCAGGTGTTGCCTGAAGTTGTCAGCTCTAGGCCATTTTTTGTCCTTAGTTTGGCATGATCCAATATGGCAGCGGTATCGCAGACTTGGGTTGAAGATCTCGGGATGCACGCTTCCCTTGTGCCGTTCGAGGTCATTCGTGGTGCCAAAACCCTCTGTACGGCTACATCCTTCAACTTCACACTTGAAGGCCTTGCGATGACGTTGATGATGTTTGCTTCACAAGGAAGGTTAGCGTTGCGTGGCTCAAATGAAGCAGATAGGTTCAATACTCACTTCAACTCCGACTTGGTCTTGCAAGAAGCACCGCAGTTCTGACAAACCAGCTTGTTATCGACTGCGCCATGATGAGTCACTGACATTGACGGAGTCGCCAAGTTCCATTGAGACTCGGTAGGCGTTCCGCTAAATTGAATGTCCATCAGTTGGCCCGAGATACTGTGAGTATCCTGGCTTCGATCCACATCGTTAAAGACAGATGCGTTCTCAACACTGTGCTTGGTCCTACTCTCATAACCAGAGTCTGAAGGCAAATAGCCTTGTGGAATGGTACCGCAGTCTGAAGGCAGGGGGCTTCTCCATGGGCCATTCAAGACAGCCTGGTTGCGTCGCCGCGAATCGCCTGGAACATTCACCTGTTGACCTTGTTGAGACTCTACAAAAATTCCCTGAGGAACCCAAGGCGAGGAAGTGTCATTCCCGTAGAAATTCATCAACGCCCATGGCACTGGCGTCTTTTGAGGAGCAAAGCCTTGACTGGTCGACTTTCCTACACTGGCTCGGGTCTCTGAACCATGCACAGAAGCCATCTGGCTCTGTTTCGTAGGATCCATAACTGTAGGTAGTCTGAGGCAGTTCTTCACCAATCGGAGGTCGGAAGAGAATGTGAAGAAGCCGGCTCGACTTAGTGACTACTGCTAGCAACTACTCGTACGTCAGACCATGATGTATTGACTAGATGAACGTGTGGGTATGTTTATCAAGTCAAGGGGCACTGGCCCGAATTCATTGCAATCTTGGAGCGAGGTAGAACTTGATGGACAAGGAGAGGAGGGTGACTAACTCGAGTCAGAACCAAGGACGGTCCAAATGATACCTAACAGCCTTTACGATGTTCAAGGCCTGGCGAACAGGCACTTGACTCGATCGGGTCCACCAAGTATAAGGCGTGACTCGACCGTGAAGGCCCGACGTCAGCGCAGATGGGGACGTTGACGTCTGGGATGACGTTCTTGGACGAAGAGGAATCCAGACGACCGAGCGAAGGGGGCAGGTTGATGCAGTTCAATTACCGGTCCGTAGTGGGTCGGTCGGAGCCGGGAGAGGACAGCACTGCCGGACTACCTAGAAAGACATGGGTAGCTGGGCGACTGAGCGGGCGAAGTTTCGCAGGATGCAAATCGCTGGGTGAAGGACGACAAGATGGAAGAGAACCGAAGGTTTCAATCAGGCGACATGGACACGGGTAGGAGACAACTTGTAGTCATTCAAACAAGAGGGAAAGGCAAAGGACGGATGAAGGGCGTGCCTGATGTGAGGAAGTCGCGGCTTGGGGGATCGCTTGGGGGACTGGGCCAATGAGGCACCCGTGAGGGCGCAGTCGTTCGCTTGTCCGCCCTGCTTTTTGGGTAATTCTCGGTGAGCAGACCACGCCGTCGCCTCATTCCATCCAATCAGCAGCCAGGAAAATGCAGGCAACCACACGAGGCAACCAGTAAGGCAACCAGCAGGCGTCCCAAGCAAATGGTTCGCCATTTTTCCACTTCCACCACGGCCACAACCGACCATGACAGAAGCACCTAAAGTACCTACTATGTAAGCTTGGAATACCACGGCTAGGATATGGACTACATACTCGTCCTTCTGCGGCATCGAGGATGTCAATGTTGGTCTCTCGCCCGGCAGCCTCCGCTTGCATAGCTATGAAAGTACCTAGGTAGGTGAGCGAGCTTCACGAACCCGAACAGCCGTCTTGGGCATCATCGCATCTACTACTCGGCGGACTATTGGCTGCTTGATGTAGTCCGCCAACCGGAGCCTCCCGCTGTTGCAACACTTTTGCTGCGCTTTCGATTGCCGCTTTATCCAGCGTTGAAGCTGACCAAGCTGCTCGAAAAGTTTTGCGCAAGTGCGCACTCCCTTATCCATGACGCCGCCGCAATGTCTCCAGTACAGTCATGTTGACGACCACGAGCACCACAATGCCCGTATACACGGCCTTGCTCAGACTCCCTCCCTCACAGCAAGTTCCGACTTCCCCGTATGTCTGTTTTCTGCTTTTCGTCGAGCAAACTGCACAGTATACTGGGCCGCGACTTCTCACTTGAGGGAACGAATCCGAGACTGGACGGACATTAGAGAAAACAAGTGTGCGCTTCGGGATGGATGTGATATGTCACTATTATGTCGTTTTCCGATGGTACAATCCTTCACCAAGTACATCTTTCGAAGCTCGCATATTCACTTCCAATGACCAACCATTCACTCGAAGACCGGTAGTCATGGAAGGCTACATATGCGACTACTGGACGCTCTGCTGAGCGCGGTCTTGTCCCTTGTAGCACAGTTTTACGTGCGACATGTTGGCCACGACACTTTACCCCCCCCCCCCCCCCCCCCCCCCCCACCACCC